AGTTTCTCTTTGTGTTCTCTTTTAAAATGAATACATTTTCAGCTCGCCACCAACTGATTGTTCTTGATTCCCCCATTGTCCGGATGACAATGCAGCCCTCTTACATGGCTGCATACCAGCCAGCGTGAGAGCGGGATCTGCAACAAGAATATGGCTTTCTTTCCCCTCGGCATAATGGGGTTATGCATTCAGCATTCTTTCTAAAGTAATAAGGACTGGAACGAAAGCATGGGTTCCTTTCTGCTCAGTTCATTTTCATCTCTGCATATTGTGCCTTTTGCGGGACGGGGTGCCTTGAAAAACCTTTTTTTACGTTTCTTTCACTCTGACCTTCTGTAGGTTCTTTGAGCACTTCTGCAAAATGAAATGTATGATAAGTTGGCAAAGATGGTCTTAGGTCCTCCATGTACCATTTACTACAGCGTGGGCTGTTTATGCTACTGACATCAGAAATGGAAAATGGAGGGCCAACTTATAAACCTGCCTTTTGTTTTGCGGCTTGTATGTTGCAAGCAATAGGAATGGTATGTTTGCAAATGTAGGCCAATGACAGGTTCAGGAACCATAATTTGCTGGGAACTTTGGGTCTTTCAAATGTAGAGCACTGTTGCACACATGTCCTGCTTGTGGACTCCTTATAGGCCTCTGGTTGGCCATGTGGAAACAGAGCGCTGGACTAGGTAGGCCTTGGGAGAAGCTGAAGTTTTGAAGCATAGCAGGTAGAAGATACCGCTCCATAAACAAGTAAGGGCAGAAATCCAAGCTCAGTCTAGCATTTATATCAGGACTAGCCAGACTAGAAGCTTGATATTGCCTGCCTATGATATTAGTCCAATGAGCCCTTACACAAATATGAGTCCCCAAGCACAAGCAAATTCATTTTATCACATCTGGTTTCCACTGGGGATTGTCTTCAGCATATCTCCATCCTTCCTGGGTAAGTTAGTTAATATGCACTCCTGCTCAGCATTTGTAAGCATTTAGAAGGAGCAGAGTTCGGTCGCAAAGCACAAAAGGCCACCATTTTTCTGAAGTTAAGCGGGTCTGGATCTGGTCATTGATCACCTGTATGCCGCCTGGGGTTTTATGATGGAAGAAAGGCAGGATTGCTTGCTTGCTTATTTATTCAGCTTATATCCTGCCCTTTGTCATAGGACACCAGGGCAGATCACAGCAAATAAAACACATAAAAGCAATCAATAAACACTAAAATGCAATATTCATTCATCAAAGTTAGATAAAACGTCAGCAATCTTGTCAGTTTTCCTTTCTACTGCACAAGCCAGTGCCTCAGCATACACATATAATACATAAAATGGTAAATAAATAAATTTTCTTAAGAGGAATGTGTACCTAAAAGTCAGCTCACCTGTATTTAGTTCATATTTATCACTGCATTTTTTGGGGGGGGGCATGAAATGTTGGCATGGCAAGTTAACTTGCACTGCAGTAAATCCTTTGGGAGGCCATCTTTCTCAGATTCTTCTACAGTGGGTAACTTAGATCACTGGCAGGTTAACACATATCTGTTCAGAAAGAATGTGGTGTTCAACAACACACCCAGCGCTCTTGCATGCTTGCTAAGATCACAGACTGTGGTGCCCTATCATTTCCTTTTGAGGCCTATTGTGCTGCTTATTGAAGTGAATGCTCAATCTCTCACCCAATCTAATCTGTCATGGGGCATGCCTAGATGGCAGCTTCCCTGCTTTGCTGGTGGTTCTGCAGCTTAGCGCCACACTGGAAGTTTGGCACGCACTGCCTTTTAATAAAGAAACACAGAGTTGCACAGTGGGTTATATAACAGCCCTTCAAGGGCTCCCGCTGTCTGCTGAGAACAGTGTTGCAGAGGCGGTCGGTGTAATGCCCTCCAGATGTTTCAGGACAACAGATCCCGTCGTCCCTCACCATTTGCCATGTTGGCTAGATCCAATGGGAGTTGGGAGTCCTAATAATATCTGGCGGGCTACCCTGAGCTATGAACCAGGCAGTCCCTAATTCATACATGACTTCTGCAGCGAACTTTTAAGAAAGTTTCCATGACAGTTCCTCCAGTTCCATCACTACCCACCCCCCTTTGCAAAATGTGGAGATAATAATGGCCTATTTTTCAATGTCTCATTTGCAGTCATACACAGTCACAGAATCTTAGGAAGTAAACTTAACACACTGAGGTTTCCTTATGAGGAACTGTGTGCAGGATCACCCGGTTGCTGAGACAAAACAGTGTTCGAAATTCCCCAGGTGCCTAGCACAATTTGCTACTGCCATGGGTCCAATTGTGACTATGCAGAGATTTCTGGGGTGCCAGGTTGGTGACTGACAGCTCCATTGAGGCAATTGACTCGTGCACAGTAAAAGACGCACTTCTTGTGCTTCTGTGCTGCTGTGGACCCCTTGCTGAGCATCTTAGTCCTCCATCACCCCATCAAGCAAAGTAAGGGCAGGGTTGAGTTTGGCTGTGCTGTAGCCTTTCCACAAGCCACCCAAATGGAACAGACCACATGTTATGTCTGGAGTTTGGATCCTAGAATAATATGCAGGGAGGGTTTTAGAATGTAGCATCTGATTGGCCTACAATCCAGCTCCAGAAGGGAAGTTTGAACTAGCCTATCAGGTGTGACCTAGGATGTGAATAAAGGATATATAGCCTGGGGTCTGGGAGGGGCCAGAGGGAGACACACCTGATGACTGACTGTTTTTATCACAACACTGAAATAAACTCCATGAAACCGATGGCTTTTCTCTGAGTATATTTCACCACACTTTAAAAATACTCTGTCTTGGTCTATCGTTGATACCATTTCCATTTCCCCTGTGTGTCTTTCCTTCTTGCTTTCTGGGACAAGTGAATTGTCGTAAGAGCAAGCTACAGTCAAGCAATGTAGCTGAGATAATAGAATTGTAGCATTGTAGTATTGTAAAGTTGGAATCCCTGCGGCAGGGTGCGCTCCCATTGTTCGGTCCCAGCGCTTGCCAACCTAGCAGTTCGAAAGCACTCTTGAGTGCAAGTAGATAAATAGGGACCGCTTACTAGCGGGAAGGTAAACGGCGTTTCCGTGTGCGGCTCTGGCTCGCCAGAGCAGCGATGTCACGCTGGCCACGTGACCCGGAAGTGTCTCCGGACAGCGCTGGCCCCCGGCCTCTTGAGTGAGATGGGCGCACAACCCTAGAGTCTGTCAAGACTGGCCCGTACGGGCAGGGGTACCTTTACCTTTACCTTAGTATTGTAAAGTACCCCAAGGGTTAACTAGATATTCCATTGTGGTGACCTAGGTTTAAGGCGCCATTTGATGCCTAGCTAGAAACTGATATCTAAGCTAGGTGCCAAATGGCTCCTTAAACCAAGGTTATAGTTGCCAAATGGAATGCCTAGTTGCCATTTTAGGGCCAGACAGCTCAAATGCTGTATTTTGTTTTTGTTCCTGAAATTCATTCTGATTGTGCAAATAAAATATAATGGATAGTATTCTGCTGGATGCGCTGCCAGTCTGTGAAAACAGTCAAGATCCAGGGATCCCCAGACATGTACCTCCAGATGGTGGAGACTTCAGGCGCCATCTTGGCACTCCCAGGCACCTTTACTTGGTAGCAAGTGTCTGATAGCCAGGTGCAAAATGCGCCTGGAGAATTCTGGACACTGCCACCATAATCAATCAATCAATCAATCAATCAATCAGCCGTGGCAGTTCTCCTGACCCTGCTGATCCTTTGCTCTGCTGCCTGAGCTTGAAGGGGATTGGAAACACCTCTGTGGGGGTGGATGCATTCATCTAGCCTTCATGCCAAACAGAAATTGGAAGTTACTAACTTTTCATTAATTAACTTCTCACCTGGCACTAAGTGGTCGAAGCTGCGGCAACGTGCCTTTGTGCTGTCAAGGAATGCAGAAACTGCCCAGTGTGAGACTTGGGCACCCCAGCCAAGCTCCTTGAACACGATGTGGAGCAGCCGTAGGAAGCAGAGAGCAAAGGCTCTTTCCTGTGGCAGCAGCGCACCAGTGTCAGAGAGAGAGAGACCTGCTTTGTTGCCATCGGACGCGCGAGCCAGAGACTACATAATGCAGTTGGCATGCCTCACGGGGTGGGGTGGGGGACGAGTTGCTGTCACTTATCAGTGCTCCTCCCCAACACATGGATGGCTTTTGTCTCCAGAAGATGAATCTATTTGGTCTCTGGTGGGCTGCGGCATGGATAGGAACGTACCAGGGATGAAAATGGAAGGGCGCAGGCTTCAGACTGGAATGGCAGTAGGAGCCAAAAACCAAGCGGCAGAGGAAACCCAATAGCCTGAAAAGCACAATGATTTGTTCAGAGAAGGGCAGGGAACCGAGATAAAAAAGCCCTGCTAAGATCAGAAACTCTGGCGTGCACAGTGCCCCATTGTTCAGCTGTCACACTTCCTTTTACTTTATTGCTTTTGTCCAACACCCTATTGTTCCACTTCCTTTTGTCCCCTATTCAGTGTGCTGGCTTTTCATTACCCAGCCAGCCTTGTTGTTTTCATTTCTTTTGTCTGAAGTTCCTGAGAGGAAGGTTTTATTTTCAGCAGTTTGATTAATTCACAGCTTGAGACAGGCTTTGTTTGTTATGTAATTACTGCCCTGCGCTTTTCCAGAGCTCCGAGTGGCAGGGATGGTGGCACTTGGCCAGTTGCAATGGCTGCTTTCACCCCAAGCCCCCTTTTTGTGCTTCTGCACCAGGAAATTGCATTGCTGTGCTTTTGGTTCTGATGGACCTGGAAAGTCCACGCCAAAAGCCCTCTGAGGGCCAGTTCTCCTGTGGCATTAGTATCATTCCTCTGCAAGGAAACACACATACAATGTGTGAATGCTGCTGTGTATATATGCCATTTTTACTCTGGGGCTCTGTCTTGTACCCAATTCAGGAATTTTCTTTCATGCCAAATTCTGACCATGCCAAGGCATGTTTCTTTGGCAAATCCATCAATGTGATGTTTTCCTACCATTCCCCCTCTTTCCCCTCTCCCTCTCCCCACAGGATGTCCATGAGGAGCCCTGCCTCTCCTCAGCTGGAGCTCGATGGAGCCGGGAACATGGTGAACTGCAGCATTAAGATAGAAGAGAAGACTGAGAGCTGCTACCAGTCTACACAGGGGGAGGTGACTGGTGCTCCTCCTGGCTCTGAGAAACCACACAATTCACCATCGCCACTGAGTGAAGTTACTGAGCCCCAAACACTTCCACAGGTGGGACAAAGTCTATTGGCTTCCATCTTTCCTCCTTGTCTTGAGGCAGGGCACTCCACATTTTCTGCACTCAAAGCGCATAAGCCAGGCCACTAGGATGTATAATTCCACTCAGATCTGGCCCAAGACACTCAGGTAGAGCAGTACATGGTCTCTACACGGAGACTCTTACACACAGACCTTCCCCCATTGCATTACAAATTCAACAATAATAAATTAAATATTTAATAACGGACACCTCAAATCAGATTCCAGAAGTGGCCACCTTACTTTAGCTAGTGGTTGAACTAGCTCAGAGTGAGTTTCTGATATTACATTAGCATTTGTGAATATGGGTATGTGGCCTGCCTCCTGGTGTTTGGGTTTATACATAGAAGCAGCCAGCAGCATCACTGTGTAGTATGTAGGATTTCAGTGTCCTGTCCCCCCCACCCCAGCAGTTCTCTCACTCGAAGTTGCTAATTTGCTTTGCTTGGGATACACGCACACACACGCGCTCACACACACACACACACACAGGAAGGAATTCAAAATGTTAAGTTGACACGGTGAGCTGCCCCTCAACACTACTGCTCAAGTCAAAATAGGGGGCCCTCATGACTGTTTTGACAGTTGACTGACCTGCTGGGATCGTGGATCTCCTGTAATCTGAATGTGTAGCAGTAGAAACCCTCATCTAAACAGCTAGGTGTACATCTTTCAAAAAATGGCCTGGCCATTAAGTTTTTGCTCCCTTAAGACACATGTTGTAAAAAAGTGGGGGGAAATGCTCAAGACAGTGATTTGGGGATTTATTTATTTTTTGTTAATCAAAGGGGAGGGACTATGATTCAATAACTGGCATGTCCAGCCTTTTAAATTGTCATTCCTCTCCTGTGGAATCCTCTCCCTAGTGAGGGTTAGTAACACCCTTTGGCACCAGATAAAAACCTATCTCTTCTTCCAGGAATTTGATGGATTGTGATCAGTGTTTTGCTGTTTACTGCAAATTGTTTTTTTGCTGCTGAAGTTCTGCAGTTTGGGGGCCATTGTATTGCTTTATTGTAATGTGCAATGTTTATTTTTAATGCTTGGCCTTAAATCTGAACTTTTTGCAAGTTGTTTAGAGACCCTTTTGTAATGAGCAACCATTAAGTTAAATAATTATAGGTGCCTCTTCCTAAGATTTGGGTGAGCCACTACCACTCACAATAGAAGAGTACTGGGCTAATTTTCCCATCTATGATGTTTTGACATCCGAGCCATAATTTAATGTTTACTTTTCCTTTTTAAATCCACAGTCTTGAAAAAGGTGTAACTTTTCCAAACAGTTCCATAGGTTTTTGTTCTTCCCTTCCTCAGCTACTATAATGGCTGACCCACATACTATTGCAGCAATTTGATTTTGTCCTTGCTTTGTGAGTTGAAAAGATTTTTGGGTGGGTGCGACACAATCTTCTCATTTTCGAAATGAGCACCCTGATTCACCAGGCGAGTTTGCAGCTCATTGACTCAAGAGGTTGCTCGAACACACCCTGCACAGAAGGAAGATTTCATGAGGATCAGCTCTATCTGTTATCCTTTCCTTTTTAATTTCCTGAAGGCTATTGGTGATTCAATGGCTCGCTCTCTTTTCAGGAATCTGCATCTCCAGTGGACAAGGCTTTAGACTCCAGGAACTCTGCATTCGAGGCGGCAGTGAGCAACCGGGAAAAATTGGATTTCAACAGAAACTTAAAAGAAGGTGGGAAGGGTGCTTTACAACCATTGCGTTCAGTTAAGTCCACCTCCTTCATTCTTGCCGTCTTTTCTAGGAAGAGGCCATAATTGCATGGCAGAACACAAGCATTCACAGGGTACAAGATTCTCTAGTTAAAATCCCTTGTGTTGCAAAGTAGGAAAAGAACTTGCTGGAAGGGCCTTGTGGAGGTCCTGTCAAGAGGGAGGCAGATGATTGGCTTGGATGCAGTGAAAGGTAGCTACTCATATATCCAGTAGTGGCTGGTGTGGTAGGGCAGAGCTATGGAGCCATCCTCCTGGCACCTTCAATGTTTCAGTTTGCCTGAAAGAGGGGCAGCAAGGAACAATGAGGTTGGGGCTGCCACAGTTGCAGCGGTGGAGCCAATCTGGTGCTCCTGTCAACGCATCTTACAGGCCCCACCTCATTGCTGCTGTGCCTCACCCAGATAAGCTGTAGTGGCGACATTGTCAGGATGGTGGCTCTACATCCCAGCTGCACCATGCTGGCCCCTTCCACTTGAATCATTTCCTTTTTGGAGTGGCTCCTTTGCTGCAGGTGGATGTAGTTATACTAACAAATGTGCATAAAAATTTTAGAATGTTCATACTGGATCAAACAGTCCGTCCATCCAAGTGTCATGACTTAAAGAGTAAATAACACAGTGGTACCTTGGTTGTCAAATGTAATCCATTCCGGAAGACTGTTCGACTTCTGAGGCACGTTCGAAAATGGAAGCATTCACTTCTGGGTTTTCGGCGTTCGAAAATTGAAAGGTTCAGCTTCCGAGACACTAAAAAACTGAAGTATTTAGATATAGAATAATCTATCCCCTTCCTTCAGTCCCACCTTTCAGCAGTTGGTTTCTTAAAAGGGCCTAATCATCTTGGCCACTGAGGAATCTGTCCTTGGAGATTTGTCCTCCATGAGCTGATCCAGTCATCATTTTTGCTGTTCCATATGATGAATGTATTGTTTAACATAAACTCTGCAACTTTTCTACTTTCAAATCAGAAAGCCACCTACAGGTTGTACACTAACCTTCTTATTTCTACAGTGATGCCGACCATCGAGAAGTTACTGTCCAGTGACTGGAAAGAGAGACTTCTGGGGAAAAATCCAATGGAATCCAAAGATGTGAAAGGTGAGCATCTGGTCTGGTTTGGCTGGGACTGCGTTAAGGCCCAGACCACAGAGAGCAGGCATAATTTGTTCTATTGGTTAGAGAGTGACAGTATTGGACCCCTAGCCCCTCTTTCCCCCACATCAGTTAAGTTAAATTACAAAGCCTACTCATAGTCATTGAATTAATATCACCATAGCTCATAAAGCTTTGCCTTATTACAGAGGATACAAAACCAATGAAATATAAGACATGGCTTCCCATCATTAGCTAGTGTATCTTGTGAATGTATGTTCTAATACAAGGGTGGGGAACCTGAGGCCCTCCAGAAGTTGCTGGATTACTGCTCCCATAATCCCTGACCTTGCAGACTGGGGATGATGGGAGTTGTAGTCCTACAACACATGGTGCAAGAACAGGTCCCCAACCCCTGGTCTTTGGTGAGAATTGTATATAATTCACAAAACTGATTGCATGTGATGATTTCTCTAGGGCATTTGCTAGGAATAGGCCCCAGAACAAAATCCGTGTTGGGCTGGTTCATCACAAGGTGGAACCAAAGTTTGTTCCATCCCATTTCCATTCAGGTTTTCAAGCACAAATCTACATATATAATCTTTAAATCCCACACAGAATACTTTGACATAAGAAATTAAGGGGAAAAAGTAAGGTGGTCCAAATTGTTTGTGCTTACAAGGTGGTCAAAGAGCTATTTGCCTGCCATCTTTTCTCATTTTATTTTTTAAAATCATCTGCCTAAGAGCATCTAGCTAGCTCAAAGGGCTCCTGCCACTACATGCATTGAAATCGGTGTAGCAAGTAATGGCAGGTCTTGATGATGTGCTGCTGTTCTCTGCAAAATTTTGCATACATTTTATATTTTACATTCACCCCCCACCACCACCTTTAAAGTCTTTGTAAAATATGTAAAATACACTTAAAATGTATGTAGGATAGCAACATGCCCCCCAAGAGTGACAACACATCATTAAAAATGGATCAATCCTAGTGGGATTTGCCACATGGATTTCAATATGTACAGCAGAAGCAGCCCCATGCACTAGTTAGCTGCTTTTAGGCAACTGGAATCGCTTTTGAAGGAAGACAGGCCGGCCAGCCTTGAACCACCTCATAAGAAAATTCATAAGAGATTGGGAATCCAGTCCTGTATGGGTTCCAGAGTGAATCCTTGCCCTGAGCATAACATTTGTCCAGGCCGATGGGATCAGGTCTGTCCACTTTAGAATCATGGCTTGCTGGATTCCTCTTTGATCCTCAGAAATCTTGACTGAGTTTGAATTGATCCGTATAGCAGCTAATCAATAAAATCTGCATTTATCTGCATACAGAACAATAGTTCTGAAGGAGGGGAAAGGCATGCATGTGTTCCAGCAGGAACCATATTAGAAAAGGCATTTTCTCCTGGGTGGGAGAGTGATGGTGGAATACCTTATCTGAGAAGGTGCCTCCCCGCTCCCCAATTTTGTGAGTACCTGCATTAAAATGAATTGATGATGATGATGATGATGATGATTTTTAAAAATCTGCTACCTGATTAATTGCAGCCACCTTTTTAATGAATCAAAAGATATGCAGTCAGCTATGCTTAATTGATTATTATACTGTATTTTTCGCCCTATAGGACGCACTTTTCCCCCTCCAAAAATGAAGGGGAAATGTGTGTGCGTCCTATGGGGCGAATGCAGGCTTTCGCTGAAGCCTGGAGAGCGAGAGGGGTCAGTGCACACCGACCCCTCTCACTCTCCAGGCTTCAGGAGAGCCCCACCGCCAGCCCCACAAGCTCGGGGGACAGCGGGGAGGCGGAACGCCGCCATCCCACTGTCCCCCGACCTGGTTTGGAGGCTGGCGGCAGGGAGAAGCGTGCTTGTCCCTGCTGCCAGCCCCACAAGCTCGGGGGACAGCGGGGAGCCGCAGAGCGCCATCCTGCTGTCTCCCGACGTGGTTTGGAGGCTGGCGGAGGGCTTCCCCTTCCCCCAGCACCGCAAGCTCCCAGAGCGGGCTTCACTCAGCTCTCCGCAAGTTGTGGGAGCCCGGCACGACTTCACGCTGGGCTCCCACGGCTTGCGGAGAGCTTCCTGTTCTGGGGGCTGGGGTCAGGGGAAGCTCGGGCTTCCCCCGCCCCAGCCCTGTGCCGGGGGGGAAAAATAAATTTTCCCCCCTTTATTTCCCCCCAAAAAATCTAGGTGCGTCCTATGGGCCGGTGCGTCCTATAGGGCGAAAAATACGGTACATTGCAGACCTAGATTTATCCAACTCTCGGGGGGCAGGGAGCTATGTGTTTAAAGAATGTGTGAAGGCGGTTGTGTGGCTTGATCAGCCAGCCCTGCCTTTCTTGCCCGTGTGTAGCAGTGCCAACCCATGCCATCTGCACATATGGCTGATATGTGAAGGGGCTCTACCTGCCCATTGATATACACAGGCAGAACTTCATGCGAAGGTGGGACCCTGACTGCTGCCTCCCACCAATTCATGGGGACTTCTGTGTGTGCAGATGAGCATGTGAGTAGATCCCCTTCATAAACTGACGGAACAGGGAGCCTTGATCCCTGTGCAAATAGTCATCAGGCACAGGGCTAATCTACCTAGTCCCCTTACACTTTCTTTCATTGTGTGTGTGTTGTTTGAACCCCCTTTACTCTCCACAAAGTTCTTAATGAATTACATGTCGCAGACCTAAATTTACAAACTCTCTTCCTGTCCTTCTTCCTCTTCCTCTTTTCCTTTGGGCTCTTGTTTGTCCCAGGAACCCAAGAAAGCCTGGCAGAGAAGGAGTTGCAGCTGCTGGTCATGATTAACCAGCTGTCCATCCTGCGGGACCAGCTGCTGACTGCCCACTCAGAGCAGAAGAACATGGCAGCTATGCTGTTTGAGAAGCAGCAGCAACAGATGGAACTGGCCAGGCAGCAGCAGGAACAGGTAGGAAGTAGAACACAACTTTGGGGCTGTGTTTGCCCTTCTCAACCTTTGGGATAGGTCTTCAGGAAGTGGCTTGGATGCAGGTTGGCCAGAGCCCATGTGACCTTGGCAAAGAATTTTGTCAATTCTGTCCCTGATATAATAGTGCTACAGGAGTTACTGGGACTTTACATATCTCAAGTGATTTAGGGGCGAAAAAATTTAGAAGTAGTGTAGCTGGTGTGGGAGTCACAATGCAGTGAGAGTCACTCACACAATCTGTTCTAAAGCACTAAAATCCTTACTACACAGGTAGGTGCCAAGTAAGTTTTACTAGGTACAAATTCATCGAAATTAATCAAGATGACTCAGTTAGGACCAGTAACATCAGTGGATTGACTCTGGTTAAAACTGAGTTGAATATCACCCTTATTTGGAATGGGAAAACTGGTGTAAAGTGAACAGGTTTGCAAGTCACATATTATCTTCTGGTGATGCTGGTGGGAATAGGTAGATTTGGGCTACTGTATGGTGACAGGGAAGAGTTAAAAGTTTTATTAGCTCTGGCCATACACAGCATAATCCTATGCATATTTAATCTGGTGCAAGCCTCACTAGGATTACAATTGTAGACTTAAAAAATGGAATACAGTTATAGTTACACAGTATTTGCAATCATGAGAATTTGGGGGTGAGTGGGAGAACCAGCTATTAATGATAGTAACTTTTCCCCATGCATGTAGAATTCAGCCCCACAAACTACTTACAATGAGCTACATTAATTATAAATGTAGTTTGATCAATGTCTATAGAACTGTGATGCTTAAGTGCAATTATGACCACTTTACAGTGATTTGTGAATCACGTTGATTCATCTCTCTGTATATCCTTGCCTGTTGGAATTCTTAGATCCTCATGTTAAAAAGTGTACAGTTTCCATGATATGTGTGAATATGGAGGAAAAATTAGGAAAACATACAGAACAAAAAGGAAAGTTTTTTTTAAAAAACACCAAAACTAAAGAAAACATCATTGTTTCAACCTTGTGATTTCCAAGTCCATCAGTCAAGACTTTTCAAAGGTTCATTTCCCCATTTTAAGGTGTATAATGATCAAGCAGTTGTTAACATGGAAGAATAATTGCAACATGCACGTCAGCTGCACTTTGACACCTGTCGTATTTCTGAAATGATAAACCAAGTAGTAGTCATAGTTATGTACAAATTAATTGCCAGTTTATACTCATCATAGGGCTAAGACAAGTTGACAGCCCCTGTAGGATACAATGGAACCTCGACTTACATACGCCTCGTCTTGCGGACGTTCCAAGTTGCGTCCGCGGCAAATCCGGATGTAAACACCGGGTTTGCCACGATTCACGCATGCACGGAAGCGGCTTCTGCCATCTGTGTGTGTGCAGAAGTGGCTGCCGCCGAATGTGCACGCGCACAAGATGCCTCTTCTAATGTACTGTTTTGACCAGTGGACGGACCTCCGGAACTGAACAATTTTAAGAAAATGAGATTCCAGAGGAGTGGGCATATTAGTTTGCTGCGGCAAAGAAGATGAAATCTCCTGTGAAGTCATCAAAACTACCTATTTTATTGCCACTTGAGTCTTTTAAGTAAGGGACGGTCATTTATTTCATCAGGTGTGGTTATGCATTGCAGTGCTACCAAATTTGAGAGAGAGAGAGCCTTCATAATTTAGAAGTAATCCCAAGAGCTTAGATTTTAGGATGAGGTTAGGTATTGGGATACCACTGCCTAACTCCAACTCTGCAGAACCATCAAATGCTACCACTTTTCAGGCCCAGTTCTAATGTAATGCTGTACACATTATATCAGGGGACATGAACATGTGGTCCTCCAGTTGCTGCTGGATATCTGGATGGCTGCAGGTTCCTCACCCTGCATTATATTCTTGTTTTCTGCTCTATAATGTGCAAATCTGATACCAGATTGATTCAAATAATGTGCTCATTCACCTCTTCCTCACAAATACTCAAGCTTGGCTTGTGGAAGGGCTGGGAGGTTCTCCTTTGTGATAAAGATGGAGAAGCGCTTGGGAAAGCTGGATGGGAAGCGCCATGTGTCTTGAGGTTCTCAATGCCTGGTTCATAGGCAGCAGCTCTCATGGGCTGCCTGTGTTCATTTGGCCCCTTGGCCCTTCATAGTCTTCTCCTCTTGCAGATTGCCAAGCAACAGCAACAGCTGATCCAGCAGCAACACAAGATCAACCTGCTACAGCAGCAAATCCAGGTAAAAGGGGTCTCCTTTCCCCCTGCACATAGCAAGGAAGATAGACTGAAAATCAGGAGACAAAGGTTTGGCACCTGGCTCTGCCAGATGTTCCCTGTGTAACTAGGTTAGGAGTGTCACATGAATTCTTTTTCTAGCTGTCCAGAAATTAACATAGAAGCAGGACAATAGTGAATTGAACATGGATTCAAACCGTAAGATAGGTCTGCCAATGGCTGCAAATCTAAACCCCTTATTTAAAAGTAAATCCCATCAAAATCCATGGGTCTCACTTCAAAGTGAATGTGTTTTAGACTGGGGTGTATGTTGTACATCAGGGGTGGGTAATCTTGTGGCCCACAGTTCTGATTAGGCTTGCCATGCTTCCCCATTTGGTCTCTGAGCCCACCTGCCTTATACCTGAAGTCATCTATGACATCAGTTATGGGGCAGGTAAAGATTTTTTTTTAGCTATAAAGGGGCTGGTGGCACCTGCAAAGCCCTGTGCATATTGCCCTGTGCAGCTCTTTGCAAGCCTTGGCAATTGTCTGATCGCTGGTGTTTGCAGATAGCTGTGTATATAGTGCTTTAAAGCCCTAACAACCAGCTAATCATCAGGGCTTCAAAGCACCACATGTGGCTCTCTGCAAGGACTCATGAGCAGCTGATTGTTACCCTTTTAGTAGAAGATTCCAGGGATTGAACCCAGGACCTTCCGCATTCAAAGCACGTGCTCTACCACTAAGCCATAGGCCCTTCACTTTGAAGGCAAATTGATCAAAGCCATTATGCAGAGGGGAGGTCCTAATTTCCCTCCTGCACTGCAGCCCCTGTCCAATTCGCCCTCCTGCATTGCAAATTCCCACCATCCCATCCCTTCTGGCTCCCTTGAGCACAGAAAAGAAAAAAAATGGCACTGGAAATGCATTTTCCCATCTCATTCTCACTGTAGTTTGACCCTAAGCTTCAGCCTTCCCTCCACTGCAGCATGACGTGGTTGTACCTCCATAGATATGTTGGGAGGGTACAGAAAGGTAGACGGTTCGAATCCCCGGGACAGGGTGAGCTCCCGTTGCTCGGTCCCTGCTCCTGCCCACCTAACAGTTCGAAAGCACGTTGAAGTGCAAGTAGATAAGTAGGTGCCGCTCCGGCGGGAAGGTAAACGGCGTTTCCGTGCGCTGCTCTGGTTTCGCCAGAAGCAGCTTAGTCATGCTGGCCACATGAACTGGAAAAACTGTCTGCGGAAATGGACAAAAGCCAGCTCCCTTGGCCTGTAAAGTGAGATGAGCGCTATAACCCCAGAGTCCTTCGTGATTGGACTTAATTGTCAGGGGTCCCTTTACCTTTACCTAATGGAGTGAAAAGTAAGAAAGCCATAGAGATCTCTCCACAACTTCACACGATCTTGGATAAGTCTTTTTGGATAGATTCTGTCGTTCCCTAAAGGCAATGCTTTTTTTTCTAGAGAAACAGGAGCTGGTCTTCAACATGAAGTTGTTAAAATAAGCATGGACGTAGCCAGCATTTTTGTTTGGGGGAGGCAGGCTTTGAGGGGGGGCAAAACCTCAGATTTGTGCTGATTTGTATTGATTGGGGGGGGCAGATGCCCCTCTCGGCTACACCCATGACAGTAAATGTCACATTTTTAACCAAAAAAAGAGGTGCCAGTACTACGTACCCTTGAGTACCCCCTAGAAAAAGCACTGCTTAAAGGTAACTTTGTCTTTGGCTCTGTTTCTGTCTGTCTGTCTGTCTGTCTGTCTGTCCCCCTCACCCTTTTCTCTCCAGCAGGTCAACATGCCCTATGTAATGATTCCAGCCTTTCCTCCCAGCCACCAGCCTCTTCCGGTCTCCCCAGATCCTCAAATGGCACTTCCCATCCAGCCAATCCCTTGCAAACCAGGTACGAAGAGGCCAAGAAAAGTGTTGAATTCTGGTTAATGAGACACAGTCTTTCTGAGTGCTTCTGCACAGTTGTCTTGCGTGTCCATGGGACCACACAAGTCTATGCGGTTGGCAAATTCACCGCATTTTTCGCCCTATAAGACGCACCAGACCACAAGACGCACCTAGTTTTTGGAAGAAGAAAACAAGAAAAAAAATATTCTGAATCTCAGAAGCCAGAATAGCAAGAGGGATCGCTGCGCAGTGAAAGCAGCAATCCCTCTTGCTGTTCTGGCTTCTGGGATAGCTGCGTAGCCTGCATTCGCTCCATAAGACGCACATACATTTCCCCTTACTTTTTAGGAGTGAAAAAGTGAGTCTTATAGAGCAAAAAATATGGTAGTATCTTCGATTAAAGCCAAGTCAGTCAGGCATATTGGATTTAAAGAGCTGGTTCCAGCTAGCCTATCTTGGCCTTCACTTGAGTCAGCAAAATGTTTGGGGCTAGCCTTGCCTCAGAAAAGGGCCAAGAAACCATCCAGGATTACAGTTAGTGGCCCTGCAGCTGTGGCAGAAAATCCCAAATTGTCTTGGTAGGGTCTTGGAGAAAGTGGCAGAGCTTTATGGTCTGGGCCGCACGGTCAAGAGGGAAGGCCTCTGTCCCCTGCCCCTCACCCTGCCAAGTGCTGCATCTGTAGGAACTGTTTTGGGGAAAGCTCATTTGGGCTCCCCTGATCCTCAGAGGAGTCTGTGGTTTAGTTATTGGAGGTGTTTTCTCAGGGTTTAGGGGATAAGATGTAGGCTCCAATGCCAGTGGATTCACGTGAGAAGGACCAGTGTGTGGACCTGTCTCCTCCTTGGGGCTGCTGTCATAGGAAGACTCTGCATCAGAGGACCATGACTCCCTCAAATGCTCAGACACACACACCAGGGAACTATTGATTAGCTGTTAAACCAATTTCAATTTTATGCAAACCTGTTTTGGGTTGCTTAGCCCTGAGAGCCCCGTTTGAGTTTCCTAGCTCTTAATGCAGAAAGCTTGCGATTCCTGGCGAGATTTCGCTGGGAGAAAGATTTGAGCAGCTGTTTGATTTGATAACTGATCTTCGACTGTTCTCTTTCCTGTCCCATCTGCAGTGGAGTACCCCATGCAGCTGCTGCACAGCCCCCCTCTGTCCGCACTGAAGAGACCTGCAAGCTCAGGCCACCTACAGATCCAGGTGCAGCCCCCAACCTGTTTTCTCTGTGGGCTCCCAAACTCCCCTTGGAATGCTCTTCTACTCTCCTCCTCTCCTTCCTTTTCAGGAATCTTCGCAGCCACTGAACTTAACAGCAAAGCCCAAAGGCTCCGAGCTCCCCAATTCCTCCAGCTCACCCAGCTTAAAGATCAGCAGCTGCCAGTCCCTCACTCCTAACCATGGGGTCTCTCAGGAGCTGCAGACCAGCCCTCCCAGCCTCCCTTTGGGTAAGTGTTACGTTGTGGGTGAACATATCAGACGACACAGCGATTCTTCAAACAGCTCTTGTTTATTCACAGGCCAGAACAGAACTGAACTGAAGGTTTCAGCCAGCCTGTTTATATAGAGCTCCACTACAACGCAACAGTAACCACTTTCTGTAACTATCCAATCACTGAACATCACTTTCATATGTGGACCTGAGTGAAAACTATCTACAGTATCCCCCTGCTGGCCCAGGGTGGGAACTTCAGTACATAACAGTAAGGCTATGGAAATTCCCCCTGCTCAGGTTCCAAGCTGGCACAGAAGTGCTTCTGCATTTGGATGACAACTGCAAGCTCATGATTTGTTACCTTGCTCTCTTGATTTGCTGTGGGAAAAGATCTGCACCCATCCCTGGATTTAGGAAGGACTTGAACCTGGCATTTCTTGGGATTCTGTTTGGCATTGTCTTCGTCTGTTGGTCCTGCTGCACCAGTGTTGGAAGGGGAAAGGCTGTAGCTCATTGGTAGAGCATACAGAAAATGTTCCAGGTTCAATTCCTGGAATCTCCAGGCAGGACTAAGGAAGACTGGAGAGCTGCTGTCAATCAGTGGAGGCAATGCTCAGTCCTGGTCTAACTCAGTATAACACAACTTCATATCAGTTATGTCCACATGCTCTGTTTAAATGTGTTTCATTTAATATATGTTTAAATTTTCAGTAATTTAAAATCCCAAGCCTGCTTGTGTATGGCAGTTTTTTCCTTTGGTTTTGAAAAGGAAGATACCATGAGAAATATATTTTCACTCTAGAGTTAGAGTAAGGTTACCAGACATCCCCATTTCCCGGGGACAGTCCCCAGATTTACAAATCAGTCCCCACACAAAATCCATTGAAGTTGAAAAGTGTCCCTGGATTCATTAAAAAAAAAACTGGTACCCATACTTAGAAGACAATGGATCTAAGACTGCTGGAACTGGAACTTAAGTGGCATGCCTTTCTTCCGCAAATACCTTTCTGAGAATGGGCTCTATGCAAGGGCACCAGATATCCCTGCTTGATCTTGTGACACTGATTCCATTCCATTTTTAAATTTCAGGGTTCCTGGGGGAGGGAGATGCTATCACCAAAGCAATCCAGGATGCCCGACAGCTTCTGCACAGCCAAAGCAGAGCGTTGGATGGATCTCCAAATCATCCCTATAGGAAGGTAAGTGGTATTTCTGAGACAGGTTTGGTCTTAAAGAGGGAGAGAGTCAGGATTTCCATACTGTTTCAGGCATTGTACTTATGCATGTGTGTTTGCCTTGTTCATTTATGAACATTTATTCTGTATATGAAGACAGGAGTGCCTGGCGTGCTCTGGTCCATGGGGTCACGAAGAGTCGGACACGACTAAACGACTAAACAAACCTTAGAACTCCTATAACACCCTGAAGATGCACTCTCTGTTAAAAGTCAGGTGTGAAAACCATATTTTTGAGGAAGTAGATACGAATAAGTATAATGTGGAATCTGTGGAGGGATAGACCCATCACCTGTAAGGAAAGTAACTGGTACCCAAGTTTTCAAAGTCCACTTTTGTAATAGCGAAGAATGAACTTGCCAAGACTCAATTAGGAATGGACTCATTTATAATGAGCTAATTGGAACTTGGTTTGGACTTGAATTTAGGTATACATTTTTAAGCTTGAGGTATGCTGAGTTTTTGCTTCTAGTGAGATCATCAGGAATATGAGAAGGCTTGTGAGCTTCTTAGTTGAGCTTCTACCCCAATAGACAATGTAGTGAGGCTTCCACAATTACCTCCACTGCCCCTTCTTTTTGCCCCAAAATATACTCTGGCATCCCCAACCTTTGGCCCTCCAGATGTTTTGGACTACAATTCCCATTATCCCTGACCACTGGTCCTGTTAGCTAGGGATCAAGGGAGTTGTAGGCCAAAACATCTGGAGGGCCACAGGTTGGGGATGCCAGGTCTAGATGGAGCAACAGCATCCCAGGTACCAGGTTCCCTGGGAACTGCAGTCTCCCAGCTCTTCAGCTTTCTTATTAAGACACTAGAATCTTTGGGGAATTATATTTTCCAGGACTTCCCATGCTGCTGCAGGACCTAAGCTGTAATAGCAGTAGCCCTTTTCATCACCTCCAACACTGCCAGATTGATTCAGTGGGTAAGGGAAGAGGTGTGGCAGTGGGGAGGCTGTTGCTGGAACCAACCAAATTATAATCTGATCCTGTACCTTGGAGAGTTGGGGGTTGGCTCAGGATTAGCCCAGAAGTTCTGAACTGGGAAGCTTGTGCCCTGAACTCCCCAATTCTGAACTTCAGGAGCATCACTGAATAGAATGATTGCTCTGTTGTCATAAAGTTACAAGAAGATCTTGCTCCCATGACTTTTGTCTTTAGAGTGATGCTTTTAGAAGTGATCTAGAATGATTTTTGGAGTTTCCAGTCTGGTTTCAATGGGGCTTCTCTGTAAATTGAAGGGATTCTGAAATTTTCCTGCCCTGCTTGCTGAGTTCAAACATGGTGGTGTGTCCTAAACAACCTTTCCAGGCCCCTTTGTCTTGCAGATAGTGCTGCATGCTGGTCTTGGGCTGGTCCTTGGCTGTCCAGTCAAGGAGCAGCTTTTATGCTATGCAGCCCTGCATTTTGGGGCTCCTTATTTCTCAAAAGTCATTTACTTTTGACTAACAAGAAGTAAAAGCATATAGTTTTTATTTAGCACAAAGTGCATGCCGGTAAATGCTTCAGTTGAAGTTTTCATTCAAGTCACTCCTAACCTTGCTTGCCCTGGTAAAATTCAGTAAACCACCTTCCCATGTGCTTTCAGGACCACGTCAGCTTGGATTCTTCACCTGCAAAAGAACAGGTGGATGAGACTTCTTTGCAGAGACTGGATGAGTCCATGCTAACCTGTGATGGGGATGGTAATGATAGTTGATCATAAAAAATTATCTATGATAGAATTGGGTCCCCCCCCCTTTCTGTTCCTCACAGGTGCTTCTGCTGCAGTTAACATCTTTCAGGTCTCCAAAGCCCAATAATCGGGGTGGGGGAAAGGCAAAGCTGAAAAATCCCATTTAGTTTGTATAATGAGATTCCTACCCCATGGACTTTACAAGTTCTCAGCTTCTTTACGGTTCCACACTCAGCTGATATGCAGAAACCACATTGTGCTATCTATAGCTGGTGCAGGAGACCTTTGGCTCTGCAGACATTGCTGAACTTCAACTCCCATCAGCCCTAGCGAGCATGGTCAATGGTCAGGGAGTTGTAGCTCTGCAACACCTGGAGGGCCAAAGGTTCTCCACACATGGCCTATAGGTAGCACAGTGTGGTTTCCACAAGTCAGCTGTAAGCGAAACTGCAAAGAAGCTGAGAATTTGTGAAGTCCATGGTTTGGGGAGGGCAGGACTGCTGCCTCTTAACTGCAGAGGCAGACTTTACCCACCAATATCTCTCTCCTCTATTAATCTGTCGAATCCTATTTTAAAGCCATCTAGGTTAGTGGCCAGGGACGCAGGTGGCGCTGTGGGTTAAAGCCTCAGCGCCTAGGACTTGCCGATCGAAAGGTCATAGAATCATAGAATCATAGAATCATAGAATCATAGAGTTGGAAGAGACCACAAGGGCCATCGAGTCCAACCCCCTGCCAAGCAGGAAACACCATCAGAGCTTTCCTGACATATGGTTGTCAAGCCTCTGCTTAAAGACCTCCAAAGTAGGAGACTCCACCACACTCCTGGGCAGCAAATTCCACTGTCGAACAGCTCTTACTGTCAGGAAGTTCTTCCTAATGTTTAGGTGGAATCTTCTTTCTTGTAGTTTGGCTCCATTGCTCCGTGTCCGCTTCTCTGGAGCAGCAGAAAACAACCTTTCTCCCTCCTCTATGTGACATCCTTTTATATATTTGAACATGGCTATCATATCACCCCTTAACCTCCTCTTCTCCAGGCTAAACATGCCCAGCTCCCTTAGCCGTTCCTCATAAGGCATCGTTTCCAGGCCTTTGACCATTTTGGTTGCCCTCCTCTGGACACGTTCCAGTTTGTCAGTGTCCTTCTTGAATTGTGGTGCCCAGAACTGGACACAGTACTCCAGGTGAGGTCTGACCAGAGCAGAATACAGTGGCACTATTACTTCCCTATACTCCTATTGATGAGGCCCAGAATTGCATTGGCTTTTTTAGCTGCCACGTCACACTGTTGGCTCATGTCAAGTTTGTGGTCAACCAAGACCCCTAGATCTTGGGGTCGGCGGTTCGAATCCCTGCAGCGGGGTGCGCTCCCGTTGTTCGGTCCCAGCGCCTGCCAACCTAGCAGTTCGAAAGCACCTTCGGGTGCAAGTAGATAAATAGGGACCGCTTACCAGCGGGAAGGTAAACGGCGTTCCGTGTGCTGCGCTGGCTCGCTAGATGCAGCTTGTCACGCTGGCCACGTGACCCGGAAGTGTCTTCGGACAGCGCTGGCCCTCGGCCTCTTGAGTGAGATGGGCGCACAACCCTAGAGTCTGTCAAGACTGGCCTGTACGGGCAGGGGTACCTTTACCTTTACCTTTAGGTTAGTGGCCATCGCTGCCTCTTGTGGAAGCGAGTTCCCTAGTTGAACCACACACTGCATGAAGAAGTATTTTCTTTTCTAAACTGAGTCTGCTGCTTGCTCCTAAATGCCCTAATCCTTTGCCAGTTCTGTTTGGCTTGGCTTTGCTGGTGTCTCTATAGTGGCTGTTCCTTGGTCTTTCCTTCACAGGCTCACGACATTTCCCCGAATCCAGGAACAACAACCACATAAAGCGTCCCATGAATGCCTTTATGGTGTGGGCCAAGGACGAAAGACGGAAGATCTTGCAGGCCTTCCCAGACATGCACAACTCAAGCATCAGTAAGATTTTAGGTAAGTCTGTGGGCGGGTGTCCTTATTCGTTCTGCTCCCCCCCCTTCCCCTCCATGGCTTTTGGGATTCCTGTAAGGCACATTGTTAGCCCCATGCACCCTCAGGCAAGGAATTACTGCTAATCTCATGCAGGTTACCAGCAGGCTGTGCGCTAGGATAAAAGCACAAAAGCAAATCCTCCTCATATTCTCTCTCTCTTTCTCTCTCAGCTGTCTTGATTCTTTGGCTCTGACACCTGAGCACACAAGCAGATGTGAAAGCAGCCTTTTCTATTTTTTAAGGTCTTTTTTTGCTTTAGAAAAAAAGAGAGCAAAAACCCACATGTGCAGAGGAAGCCCATTCTCAGGGAGCTAAAGATACAGCTGTGGTTGTGGGCCTTCTTCTTTTTTTGCAAGCTAGTGACATAAACTGCTGGCTTTGCACTGACCTAGAGAAGCAGTTCTAGGCCTTGCTTGGCAGCTGTGAAGTCAGCAGGCGGCCAGCTTTTCCCAGTAGCCCTCAGGAGTGAGCCTGTACAGACTTAGCACTTCTTCCATTCAGCAGCAAGCCTATTCTGTCTCTTGTTCTTTAGAGCTTTGCTGCTGGAAGAAGGAACAAAATAAGGCTTCCTTCCAGGAACAGGATTCTGAGCTGTGGGTTGGTGGGAGGCAGTCTGTGGACTGCCGCCAACCCAAGGAACTGGTGCTTGAAAACCTGGAACTTAGAAGAGAGGTTTCCAGTAGGCGATTTTCTCTCTTCACACCAGCATGCAGCTGACCTAAGATGCCGGGCATGTGAAGTTATTCTGAAATTCACAGCCAGCAGAAATCCTGATCGGTTGGTACTGATGAGTGCTAATTAGGTGGCAATCTACAACATGCCTATATTCATTCTAATCTGCGGGATTACCTGTGGAACCCATGATGATTGGGCAGAAAGGATGGCTTATCACAAACCAGATAAGAGCAGTGCAAGTATCTTGCCTTGGACCACAAGGAAGCAAAGCAGTGTAGGAACTGCTCTGAAAGAGTCATGGAAATGATAAGCAACCTGCATTGACTTCTCTAGTGCTTTTACTGGAATCACAATTAATTATTGGCCATCTAGATTTATCTCTCTTTAAATTATAAATTATTGGCCATCTAGCTTTATCTCCCGTTATCACTGTTCCCCGTACAGTGCTACACTAGGCCTTGCCTACTTCTGGATGATCTCTGCCCTCAGCAACACTCATGAAACACATGGTTAAAACAAAGGCCTGTGTGTCAGGCCAAATCCCATAGCTTGGAGGTCCACAAAGTGTGCCCTTCGGACCACCAGTGGTCCATGAGCTTCATTGAGATTGCCCATGGTTTGCCTGTGGATTTATGGTTGAAGATGGGAGAAGGCACATCCATTGCAGTGAGTACAGTGGAACCTTGGTTCTCGAACGGCTTAGTTGCCGAACAAATCTGCTCCCGAACGCCGCAAACCCAGAAGTGAGTGTTCCAGTTTGGCAAAGTATCGCCATGACAACCCACAACATTTGAATTGAGAAAGTAGCCCCAGGTTTTTGCAGTGGCCATAGCACGCTGAGCCACTTTATGCATACTTTTCATCCCATAGAAAACCCCCGTGTATGGCAATTATCCCTGTTAGCAAGCTTAACAACCACAGGGGCTTGCTTATAAAGGACCAAAATAATAAGTAGATCTACAGCTTTTGTACCTCCGCAACTTTCCCATCCTGTTTTACAAGCAGTCCAGGTAAACAATTCTAAGGAATTCTAAGGCCTGGCTGGGGAAAACCTGAGGGTGAAGGAACACTTTTGCTCCAGTCACTGTGGTTTGCCCCAACCCCTGCCTGGTCCTCCACAACTTTTCTTAGACCTGGCAGCTGTATGTTGTTGTTCTGCTACATCAGTGTAGATATACGTACATGGTGCTTTAAAGTTTAACTTAAGGGGGAAAAGACAATGAGCTTCTTGGGACAGGGGCCTGTCAAAAACATTGACAGTGGGGTCAGTAAAGAAAGGGGAATGATGACTTGAGAACTCTTCTTAGTTGCAGGGAGCTCTGCTGTATATTCCCAGCTGGTGGGTGGTTTCCAGCCTAAACTATTGAGCAACAATTGGCATATGCTCTGCCGCTACATTAGAATGAGATTACTTTGTAATCTCTTCTTTGTCAGAGCCAATAAGCAGGGAACCCAGTTGTAAGAACACATACCTCTGAAAATTCAGGTTGTGAGAATAAAGTACCATGAGCTTGCTATATAAGGTATATTTTGAAGACTGTTCCAATAAGCATATTTTGAGAAATCATATGATCACTCGTCACCTGAATCTTAACCCAAAATTTAAGTAGAAGATTGTGAACTCTTGGATAATAGCGTACACTCAGTGCGATCCATGTCTACTCAGAAGTAAATTTCTGTTGAACTCAGTGAGGCTTACTGCCAGGTAAGTGGGCATAGGATTTGAGCCTTAAAAACACAGGGCACTATTCAATTGCTACATCCACTTGCACAATGGGACTCCCCCACTGTCTGCCATGCACACCCCACACTCTCCCCAAATCTGTTCCAGAAGGTGGCAGGGAGCCCCTAGAAGAGATTTAGAGAGTGCATGGCAGGGAAAAGAGGGAGGAAATGTTCCACTGTGGAAGGAGAAGTCCTTGTGCTGATGGAACACAAGTCTTAGTTCTAGGCTGGATTCTACCCTTGCTTTGTGTGACATCCAGCTCCTTGTCTGGTCTTTTTGTACACCACAGGTAGAAGTTAACAGCACAATACCTAATATAGATGTCATGTTTTGTTAATGCTAAACAAAAATAACCCTCACTAGCGGCAGTGCTGTCTCACTCAAGCATGTGTTTCCCATGATGTGGCCTAGTGTTGAGCTGTCGCACAGCCTGGGTGGTTATTTAAAGAGGTTGGTGTGGTTTCTGAAGGAGGTCTCAGTCCACTGTGCTGGGAGTGAACATGTTATGCTTCAGCATTGGAGGTTTGTGGGTTACTCTCCGCATGTTTAATCTGGGCTTGTGTATTGTTGCTAAAATAAAAGTAAGGGCTCTTTATTTAAAGGAGTGCTCTTAACCCACGTTGACCTTCAGCATCAAGGGGCCTTGTGGTAGACTGCCTTTTTCACCCCGCAACCTACAAATAGCCACTGTTAAGGATTTGTGTTACTTAAACATTACTTATTCGAGAGAGCATATCTCAAAGTTTTCATGAGCTAGCTGGGGGAATTTGCATCAGAATCTTTCTGGCATAGTTTGAAGGTGTGCAAATTTGTATCGTGCCCACGTGAACTGCAGCAGCTGAATACTTCACAGATGTTAATGAATGTAACACTGGTTGGAGCTGCATCAGGAGACGGCAGAATCGACTAGATCTCTGCTGAATGCAGATGAGGATGTTGCCATTTTTTAAAACACTCCATTTTTATTTTTATTACCTACAAGTAGAAATTGGGAAGAGGGAGCTGCTTCATGGTGTGCCAGTTTCTGCTGCAAGGAGGGTTTTTTTGTGGTTTTTTGTACTTTGGTAAATATTCATAAATGGCACCCCTGCCTGCAGTCAGAAATGATAATGGTCCATTCTGCCACCTCATTCAGCTGTATTTGCAAATCTGGCCTCAGGACTCATCATTGTTTTGATTTTGAGTTTCTTTAATAGTTAAGGGGTAGTTCAACCCACCCGGCTTTGCTGTAGTTTCCCTCTCCAAGAAGCCTTGACCAAGTGAATTTTGTCCAGGCTGAGTTTCTCCTGAACGCTTGCTGTGTTTGTTGTTTTTAGTCCTGTCTGCCAAAGTAATCTTGGGCTGATTTTCTTCCTCTGCTTCTTCCCCTGCTTGGACGAAACCTTCCATATCTCTCCAGCCTGCATTCTTCACACACTTTCTGGTGGGAATGACAGTAAAGGTCACCCAGCCCAGGGAATTCGAGTTACAGCAGGGCAGCCTATTTTAGCTGTTGCACCTGCTCACCATACCTTGTGCTGGGAAGAATTCAAAAAGAGCAGCATAGGAAGGTGACAGGAAAGGTCAGCAGGAGGGAGGGGTTCTCATTAGCAATAGGTGGGCTGCCTGTTCACTGTGGCTTGTGGCTTTTTATATGGAAATGCTGGATTATCGCAGTGGGCTCTAGGTGGAGCAAGCCCTCATCTTGGTCTGGAAACTCCAGCTGGTGCAAAACGCTACCACTATCCTGTTTGTGGGGACAGACTATCACCAGCACATAACGCCATGGTTTAAACAGTTTGCTCTGGCTGCTCATATGTCACCAGTCCTCACCAGTCCAAGTTAAAGGTTCTTGTATTAATTTGCAAAGCCCTTAACAAGTGTTAGTGGTCCCCAGGGACTCAAATGCACGACTTGTATCCCCCACAAGCTGTTCATTTGGTATTGTGGGCCTGATTCTGAGGCACTGCCTCCCAGTTGAGATCAGGCAGATCCCCTCCCTGTTAGAACTTTGGGCATTTGAAAAGACCTTTCTGTTCCAGCAAGCATTTTAAGGAAGTTCTCTGTTCTGATGTTTAATTTTCATTGATATTATTCACCATATGCTTTTTGTAATTTTTTATGCACACCATTTAGAAACTTCAGTGATTAAGTGGCATATAAATAGCTGAAAGAAATAAAATTAATTAAATTCTCACTTGTCTGTTTTGGTATTTGGGCCTTGCAGTCTGGCTCTTTTTAACACATCTCAAGTAATCCACTGCATCTCTCTGAAATAATAACATATGTAAACAACCTTTCTGAGTCAGTGTTTGCTGCTTGACAATAGCTGAGAGTTTCAAATGAAAACCTTTCAGCTATATGTGCTCATTACAAAGTGAAGAAGTCTTTATTAAGCACTGTGTCTCCTGGATTTTGGTGGTTTAATTTTTGGTGTTCATCCTTTTGCAGTGGTTAACTTGTGCTTGGATAATTTTTTTGTGGATGAGCACTTTCATTATATTTCTTTCGTGTTAATGGATTTCATGGTATATTGTATTTTGTACATTGTCCCTGTGAATAACTTCATTTCCTTCTGGTATTAACCATGCGATATTAACCATGACGTTAGGGTTAGTGTTCACTGAGGACATAAAACATATACCTATTAAAAATGTGCAAACTGAACACATGGAGGAATCTATGGTCCTAGCTTAAGTGAATTGAAAATATTTGATGGACACCTGCCTCTTCTCTTCTTCATTTAAAAGGCACATGTGGCATTTTGCAAGGGGATGCAGAGATATAGGGTTTGTTTTGATTTTGAAATGGGTGCTCCATCTGGCATATCCATTGCCTTGATCAAGTCTTGCACAATTTCTAGATGAGCACATGTTTGATGCTTTATTCTGCTTTTATATTTGTTGGAAGCCTCCCAGAGAGGTTGGGGCAACCCAATCAGATGGGCAGGGTACAACTACTTCAACTACTACTGCTACTACTACTACTACTACGTGATCTACCTGATGCAGCCTGTTTGTTGTAATTTATGGCCTGCTGAACAACCCATTTTTGTTGGGTTCAGACATCAGACTTGGAAGAGTAATTGCTTGCCTATATTGCTCATCTCCAACATCTCAGATCCATTTATTTTTGTGTCGTCCCTCCCCTTCTCCTTTTGTTTTAAGGACATCCTCTCCTGTTTACACTAAAAAGCAGTATTTTGACTTAGCGCAGAACAGGCTAGCTATACGTGGCTGGAAGCAAGAACAAAGCAAACTGGTTAAACCTCTCCCTCTGACTCTTGTTTCCACTTTGCAGGCTCACGATGGAAATCAATGTCGAATCAGGAGAAGCAGCCCTACTATGAGGAGCAGGCTCGGCTCAGCCGCCAGCACCTGGAGAAGTATCCCAATTACAAGTACAAGCCCCGCCCCAAGCGCACCTGCATCGTGGAAGGGAAGCGGCTCCGTGTTGGCGAATACAAGGCATTGATGAGGAATCGGCGCCAGGACGCCAGGCAGGGCTACCTGATTGCGTGAGGCTCCCTGCCCCTTCTCCCCTCTGTTTGCTCCCAAGCCCAGCCAGGAGCTTCCTGTTGCTCAGATCCGACTTAGGGAGTGGCTGATTTGGGGAGCAAAAGACAGCCCAGCACGTCCTCTGCAAAGTGCCCTTTGCACGAGCAAAATGTGGGACCATAAACCTCTGACTGTGGCCAGTAAAAGCTTCCTTGGTAGTCGCCACAGAGAGGCATGCACATTCTTAAAAATTATGCCTTGGTGGCAAGGACACAGCTGATTTATACTGACCCAGACAAACACTAAACCGGGGGTCTTAACTTTAAGCCTATGGATAGCCTCGCTGACTTTGAAGGCATCACACATGTGATTAAATACTTTGCTGGATCACATCACATCAGCATAGCTGGCACTTCACAGAAGACAGGCAGCCCCAAAAGTCCTTCCCAGGATCTGGAAGCTGGTATCCAGCAAGGGTTGTGGCAGACAGCTCCTCTGTTTCACTTGCATTTCCTAGAGGGCAGCATTGCCCAAACACACTGCAATCTAGGTGGAATCTAGACACATTTAGAAATGCTGTGAAAATGCTTTAAAAAAATAAGTTTTGAAAAATATATTGAATTTGCCATAAGCTCACTATCACCATCTAGTGTCATATTTGTATAATGCATTCAAACGTTATATTTGCATCTGTATAGCTGAGTCCCTAGTCCCTTGTGGAGAGGTGGGGTATATGTTAGTGGAGGAGCAGCAGGGAGGAGGCTATAGTTCTCATGCTGTAATGTCTTTTCTAGACCTCAGGGCAGCCAGATGCCTCCTTCCTCTTCGGATCTCATGTACCAGCGGTCAGTTGGGATGCAGCTGGCTTCACCCCTGATGGACCACTACCTGCCCCGTGGCATGGAAGCAAACATGCCGGTCATCATCAACACCCGTAGCCTGAAGCCAGAGGAAGGGGACGGGGCTGAGGACAATCATTCAGTGCCCGATGGCGAGATGTACCACTACAGCGAAGAAGAGGATTCAGAGGGCGAGGAGAAGAGCGATGGCGAGCTGGTGGTTCTCACAGACTAAGCCAGTGGTGCGCAGGGGGAGGGAGGTGTGTGGAAACAGGGGACTTCCCCAGCCTTTGTCCTCTTTCCAGCATCAAAATGATTAGCTGACTTTGGAAGAAGGCGGGAGAGGGCCAAGGAAGCGAGAAAATACCCTCAGGTTCTTCCGCTGTGTGGCTGCAGATTCCTGGGAAGCAGCCAGACCTGTGGGTAGTTGTACCAAGCTGCTGAAAGGAGAGGGGCTGTAGCTCAGCGGCATAGGGGGGCACACTCTGCGTGCAGGAGGCACTTCCAGTGAAAAGGTTCTTATTCTGAAGAGCCGTTGCCAGTCAAAATAGATAATACTGGGCTTGATGGACCAATGGTCTGACTCAGTGTTTTCCTAGATGTTTTATATAAAAGACAGACATGGAGCAGAAGAAAGAGAGGATCTGGCCTGTGTGTCATTGGTGTCCATAGTGTTGGTAGGGATTCTTGATCATTCATCATCTTCTCTCTTGAAAGGAAGGAATTTTGGCTCAGGCTTGCTGAATGTGCATGAGGGTCAGGCTCAAAGAGAGGTGCCATTCAAGGAGAGCCTTGGAATGCAGATGACATTGCGACTGCTGAGGGACGTCGCTCCTGCCCTCTGGGTGGAGGCGCATGGCTCTCTCCCCAAGCTGCTGAGAGTTTATATAGGAGGGAACAAAATCCATTATGGACTGGCAAGGGAGTGCATACAACTGGGAATATAACCTGAAGCCGATCCAGGAATGTAAGATCTCCTGAATCCAACTGAGCAATATAACACCGATCTTTTTGCTCTTTGGAGCAAATGCAAGACTGGGGAGTAGTTTACTCCTAGTCACAACTGCATGTGTCTTCCATGCAGCATTCAGTTGTGCTGTGGCTTACCAGCAAATCTCTCCTTGTGTCCATTGCTTGCTTGATCTCCTTTCCTTGAAAGCTGGTGTGTGCAGCTGGTTGGACAGAGGCCTCACCTGCTGGCCATCTGCACCAGCTTTTAGTAGCCACACAGTCGCCACCAATTCATCTGACCTCTCTGGGGCCTTTCAGTTTTGCTCAAACTGGGTGGAACGCTTGTTCCCTGTATGTTCCGGATGCCTGCCAGTTCTGCATCTCCCTCCCCACCCCAACTCCACTTTTGTCCTGTGTTTGTTTCTTTCTGCTCCCACCGGCCCTGCCAGTAAATTCCCATAGAGCCATTTTTAGCTCTGGACTTGAATGAATAACAACGGACATCTCGGAGGGGCCCTCTTCTACCCTTGGCAGCCCTGGCCCAGTTTTGTAAAATAAGCCACTGCCCGTTTCCCTCCTGTGCTTGTGTGCTTGCCAGTTCTCAGTATATGCAGCAGCAGGAGACACCCAGCAGCAGCAGCAGGGTTGAAAACTAACTAGATCCTTAGTGGAGGTCAGGATCCCTTGGTCATATCTGTGAGAAGAGGAGAATCCCAACTCAGGCAGAGATTCTTACGGAGTTAATTCTAGTTATGCCACCCTGGTTATGTGTCTCCATAGCATCAGATACCATTGAGTTAAATGGAGCTTCCTCCCAGGTAAGCGGGTCTAAGATGGCACAGGTAACAGCAGCTGCCTGCCTTGGATGTGGTGACTGCTTCTCAGGACCCCTCTTGGGAACTGAACCCTGGTTCCCCATCACCTGTGGTTGTTACGGTACGCAGAGACAGTACCACTGAACATTGATAGGGAGGCATCAGGATGTGCCTCTACTGCCATGGTCTGTGGTTACTATGTTGGCCCCAGGGAATCGGGGTTCACTTCCAGCAAGGAAGCCAGAGAAATGGTTAGCACAGCCAAGGAAGGCAGCAGGTGCTTGAGTTCCCCTCTTGTAACCCAGGGAGATTGTGAGGGAAAATTGCAATACGGGACTCATTCAAGGCCCAGTAATTTGAATGAGTACATTTTAAATCCTTTAATGAATTGGTAACTCTAAATAACTGTGGGCCAATTCACACACCCTGTCAGGTGTGTTTAGATGTATTTAGATGCCCACCCTGTCAACTTTCTCTACCTGCTGTGGTCACAACACAAGCCCTTCCTTGCTTATTACAGTGGTACCTCTGGTTTCAAATGGGATCCATTCCGGAAGCCCGTTCGCAACATGAATAGTATGCAACCTGCAGTGGCACATCTGCGCATGCGCAGGTTCTAATTCACTGCTTCTGCGCATGCCTGTGATATCATTTTGTGCATCTGCGCATTTACCAGAGGCGAAACCTGGAAGTAACCCTTTCCGGTACTTCCGGGTCGCCGCGGGACGCAACCTGAAAAAACATATCATGAAACAAACGTAACATGAGGTATGACTATATACACAAGTCCTCCTTGGCCCAGTGCTGAAGGGGCTTCTCCTGCATCCTTCTGGTCCCGTTCTACTCCCATTTATCCTTTTGTGGAATTGGTCAAAGCAGCTGCAGTAGTTCTGGTACTGATTCACATTGTCCTTGGCCAATGAGTGGAGAATGCTGAATTTCACCACGTGAAAAGAAGGAAAGAGAAGCAGGGGCAGTGAGAGGGAATGTAGAGGGTCATGGTCTTAAAATATATAGATGCATAGTGTATGTGTGTGTTTGCATACACCCTTTTCCCCCACCTCATCACACCTGATGACCTTCTTAAACTTCTCTGACAATGTTCTAGCAGAAGCAAAGGCAGAATATAAAAGTAGAGATGCTCCAAAACATGAGAGGCTTTTGCTCTCTACTGGCCAAAGATGGAATGGCATGGAGAAAGCAAAAATAGTAGAAAGAGACAGCTATTCTGCCTCATCTCAGTAGTGAAAATGGATAGTCTCTGGCTTTTGACAGGATGGCCGTCCCAAGTGGGAATCCTCCTCCCTCATATCTTGGAACAGTGCATGTATACCACATCTTTTTATTCCAGATGTGGAGATGAACAATGAGAGAAAGGAGGATTGAGTTGGAGGTAAAAGCAATTCAGCTCCACTTCTATTTTTAAGAAAAACTCCCATGTCATCTGAAAAGTCCTTCCTTCTTTGGGCAAAATTAATTGACAGTGGTACCTCAGGTTGCAAACACCACAGGTTACATACTCTGCTAACTTGGAAGCAGTACCTCGGGTTAAGAACTTTACCTCAGGATGAGAACAGAAATCGCGCGCTGGCGGCACAGCGGCAGCGGGAGGCCCCATTAGCTAAAGTGGTACCTCAAGTTAAGAAATGTTTCCGGTTAAGAATGGACCTCCGAAAGGAATCAAGTTTGTAACCAGAGGTACCACTGTATTTAAACATCAACCTTTTTTATCCACATGACCCAACCTAAGGGACCAATATTTCATTGCTTTCCTTGCATCACAAGCAAAATGGCACTTGCAAGAAGAGTGGCAAGGTGTTCCCCCATTTTTTTTTAAAAAAGGTGAAACCTCTAATTAATGCCCTTGCACCTGGACCCTCGTTCACAAAGGTTTATTCCTCTCTGACTGTGTTAAGTCTTTGAGATGTCACACCAGACTCTCTGTTCTCTTTGCCACAACAGACGAATGCAGGAATTCCCTCTGGAACCTGCCCTTGTCTATCATCTTGCCACCATCCATGTGACCTGTGCTGGCTGCTTTGGCTCCCCTGACTGGCTTTACCTGCACCTCCCTGGTTATTTATTCCTCCCAAACTCTCATTTATGTTAAAGACAGCTTCGTGAGAGCAAAGAAAGGCACGTGACAGGCTCAATGGAGAGGAAGTGAGACAATTAGCTGGGAAATGGGTAAGGCTTTGCCTCTTGCTGTTATCTTTTATAAACACATCCATCTCCCCACCTGCCCACCCTGGTTTTCTCTAGCAACTGGCTGCTGTTTTAGTTTTGTTTTGTCCCCCGTCTCTCCCCCCCCCAAAGATATCTGTACATATAGATAGAGCTTTATTTTGTTAATAAGACTAGTAACTTAACCTGTATATTTCAACATACTTGTTTATAATGGGTTTTCTTTTCCGTGGTACAATAAAGAGGATGTTTTTGAGCAGAGGGTTGTGCTGAGATCTAGTTTTGTGGAGCTGACGCAACAGCCCCCAGTCCTTTTTACTTTCTGCCTGCAGGTGAAGATTGAGAATACCTCCTGGGTATGCTCTTAAATACAGCAGGTACATTGGACAAGACAAACCTGCTCTGGGTTAATATGCACATGTTGGCACTGACCAGGAAGCTGCAGATGTGAGCCATGCAGTCCACTCCTGTAAGGACCCCTGCAAAACTTGCTTACAAGAGGAAAAAGCCAATTGAATCAGCAGTTGTCTTTGAAGTGCATTCAACCCCCCCTCCCCACAAATACACCTGCTGTCCTTCGCTTTAGTTGCTTTGTGAGGGTGTCTGGTTTTGATTCCAAGTTCTCGTGTAGCTGCAATGTCCCAAATGCTGGGATTGCCAATCCAATCTTTAAATCACTATTTGATGTGGGGTGAGATTACCTACTTACCCATGCCATCATTTCAATTGGAAATAATTGAGCCTGGACTAACCATCCCGTTTCCTTTTCCCCCTTCTAGTTTGTAACCATTTTGGGCACCACTGTAAATTAAAAAGAATCAGCCTTCCACAGTAGCTTACCTGACCTATCATTGCCACTGCTGTGGTGTGCTACAGGAATGAAGTGGTGATGAGTTTAGTGTGGTGCAAATGCACCAACGGATTGGCTCTGCTGGTATGTTTGAACTGTGCCCCTCCTGGTGTGCCAGTGACAGGAGTCAAGGGGTGTCAGGTAAGAAGGTGGCGCCCTGTCCATCGCTTCTGCCCTATAAGTAGGGTTGATTTGAATCACCACTTAATGATGGAAATTGGGAATCTTGAGACCCAGTTTGCCTTGGTCCCAGCTACAGCATTCCCAGCTCATATTTTATCTGCCCCATGTCCCTGGAGAGGAGGTGCACATCTAGCAAAATGTTCCATCTTTTCTTTGCTTCATCAAAGGCCAGAAGCAGCTTTTCCTTTGCAACGGCCTCGCCAGCCAAACATCACCACCTGCCAAGCAAGCCTTAATGCTCAACAGCTCAAATGTATGTGGATTTCTTGGCCATGATTCGAATTCTAACCTGCCAGAGAAAGTTGGCTTTGTTCTCCTGAATTGTTAGTGCATAGTTCGTTATGAGAATGTCTGTCTACCATGGAGTGCAAATATGCTACGCAGCGTTGATGTGATGGAATTATTTGCTGGCTGATCTGAAGGATAGTTTACTGACGGAAATGACCTCGGGCAGGTGAATGATATTTTGAGCCTGTTGGAGGACAAAAGGGGTAGACAGAATTCATGCGGTCTGCCTTGGTGAGACATCCAGCCATGTTGGCCTGTCATTCAGAGATTGGGTTGGTGGCAGTTCCCTCCTCCCCTCTCACCCAAAACCAGCCTATTAAGGGCAAGATGGAACATTCTACTTTCTGAAAACACAAACAGCATGGAGTGGCTGGCTACACAATTTGGCGCTCACTGTGGGGCACACTCGCGTGTCTTGTTTTCTCCAGTGCCTAGCCCAGCTCAAGGAACCGCATAACACTTCTTGGAATTCATTAGTTGTCTTTCAAAATGATGCACACCCAGGGTCTTAATTATCTCTCTCTCTCTTTTTTTTTTTTGCTGAAAAAATATATAAAGAGAGGCACATGTTTCTGCTGTAGTTAATATATACTTCCTATCCGAGAAGGATTTCTTAAGCACGTCTGAACAGACTGTTTCTGGAATGCATAAAATACCAGCAATCTAATAATAAAGTCAACCTTGCAAAGAACTGCACGACAGCCATGAATATTAGATTGCTCAAGGGGGAGGAGAGCATTTTGACTCGTTTTAATTTTATCACATTGGCTTTATAAAGAGAGACACAGTTGGTGTTAAAAGGGTTCCTTTCTTCCCTTCATTTAGGGAACAAACGTCACTGATTCCATTTACTCCTGTAAATAACACACAATCGATTTGATAGTGTCAGCAACTACCATAATGCAGAGAAATCTTGCAGTTTTATATACATAGAGCTGAATGCATGGTCGCTACTGATGAGGAAAGTGGTTGGGTCACAACTCAAAAGTTCTGTCCACACCTGCAACTTGAGGGAAAGCATATAACATGGTTGCATGAGATGGAGAAGCATCAGTAACCAATTAAAGTAGGGATAGCCAATGTCGCACCCAGATGTTGCAGACCATCAGCCCCAGCCAGTACGGTCAATAGGAGCTGAAATCAAACAACATGAAGGCATCATGTTAACTATCCCTGAGTTAAGAGATGCAGTTCCAATTCTTGGTAAACTAGTCTTTCCTCATCCATTGATTGGTGGCTTTGTACTGGACTGGGAAAGCTTACACATTTTAACAGGGCACACCTTTGTTGGCATGTCCTGCTTTGGCCCAACCAAGTCAAGCTAGTGCAAGC